TTTCTTCATTACCCATTCAAGCCGTCTCCAAGCATTGTTAGTCTCAAAGAGTGTTCCTCGTCATCGAAATTAAGACGTGTATAAATACATATATAATACAATTTAAAATAATCGAATACAAAATGAATAAGTTGTGAACCATGTGTTCAAGGTAGCTAACTTTCACTATGTATTTATGTTTATATGTCACACATACATAGTGAAAAACTTGTACCGTTTAAATTAAAACATAAATAATAGTGATTATTTTCCCTTCTTCTAAAAAAAATAGTTAATTTTTAAACAAAAGACCGATTATAGGTTAACTATGAAACAGCATGTATGTGATTGTTTTCGTAGAAAAATATGCAATTAATTTCTAGCAAACAACCCAGTTTATTTTTAATTTAAATGGTTTTAAATTAAATTAAAAGTTTGTTTGTTTTTTGAATTTCGCGCAAAACTACACGAGGGCTATCTGCGCTAGCCGTCCCTAATTTAGCAGTGTAAGACTAGATGGAAGGCAACTAGTCATCACCACCCACCGCCAACTCTTGGGCTACTCTTTTTTACCAACGAATAGTGGGATTGACCGTCACATTATAACGCCCCCACGGCTGAAAGGGCGAGCATGTTTGGTGTGACTGGGATTCGAACCCGCGACCCTCGGATTGTGAGTCGAGCGCCCTAACCACCTGGCCATGCCGGGCCAAATTAAATTAAAAGCATCAGTTTTCTAGGTTGTATTTCATCATTTCTTCCAGTAATAACATAAGGTGATATAGCAAAGATGACTGTAGCTAGGTAGAAAATTATTAGTACATGTACAAAACAGCTGACTTTTGCTTTACTCTAATTACAAGTAAATTATATATGTTTGAGTAAAAAGATAAATATATTAAATTGATAAGTAATCATCTAGGACTAAGTTATTCAGTCGACTTGATGATGCCATTCAAATATGGTTGAAAACTCCTCAAATAAAAAACTATAAACGTGAAGATAAACCCGTTTTATTGTGTATGTTTGTCATTTAAGAAAATTTACAGAATACGTGACTTCGACCTAATTGAGAATGTTTCATTGTACCATTGCTCCCTTACAAAAGGGTGATATTCATATAAGTTCAAAATAATAATAATAATTTATTATATTTCATTTTTAATTGACAACCAGGAAGGTTTTCAAGAGAAGGAACCACTGGAATCAAAAGGATTGTTCTCATTTATTATTGTATCACATATATCGATTGCAAATAGTAAAATGCCATTGAATCGTAGCTCCATCTAGTATTTATTTCTAAAACTTTATTGAAATGTAGTTAATCCAATTTTTCAAAAGCATAAAATCAAACCTAAAATTTTGGAAATACAAATTTAGAGAACATGGAAATATTCAATTTTGAAATTCTATTTTTACTTCTCAATATTCTCCATCACAGCTGTATGTTTTATTTATTTACGAATTATGATTGTAATATTAACATATTAAATTGTATTTGCCATGTATAGTAATGAAAAACCTTTTGCGAAATAACGAGATTATTGAAGTGAAGCTGAAAATTGAATTATTTCAGAAAAAGACATAATGTTCAATATATACATAAACAAATTTAAATTCTATGTTATTATTGTGTTTTCGTAAATAAGGAAGTTGATGCGAAATCCAGCGGTATGTCTGTGGACTTACAACGCTAGAATCCGGGTTTCGATAACCATGGTTGGCAGAGCACAGATAGCCCATTGTGTAGCTTTGTGCTTAACTACAAACAAACAAACAGTGGATATAAAAATAAATATAGACAGCAATATATAGAAAGAAAACTGTCCTCTTTAGTTTATTCTCACAGATAATCCTGGCTTTGTCCCGAAAAACACAGTATTCAATTTACTGTTGCAATTAATCATACAAGTTGTTTTATTTTCTTGCATAAGATATTTTGTAGTTTGGCCATTGGGGAGTTTATATGTACTGTCATTGTAAAATCTTGCATTTGCTAGGAATTTGGTTTCCAGAATATGGTTTTTCGTATAATGATGTCATGGTTCACATAAAAACCAAATTTTTACATATTTTTCCTCTGTCAAAACCATCCTCGACATTTAAAAAAAGGTTTTGTAGCCACAACTTTTTATGTGTCTTTTAAACGTTGTTAAGGTAGCAAGGTGTTAAA